TGTGTTGATAAACAAGCTTTTGCATTACTCGTTTTTGTTTCATATGAATATGCTGATCTGTCATAGAAATCTTATAAACAAAGTAATAAAATCATTTTAAAAATGCATAGCTGGGGGCTGGCGCTATAGGGCAGTGGGTTGAAGTCCTGGCCTGCAGCACCAGCATCCCACTGGGACACTAGTTGGAGTCCCAGCTGCTGCACTTCCGATCCAGCTCTCTGCTGATGGCCTGGGAAAGCCTCGGATGATGGCCCAAATCCTTGGGTACCTGCACCCATGTGGGAGACCTGGATGAAGTTCCTGACTCCTAGCTTCAGACTAGCTCAGCTCTGGCCATTGTGGCCATTTAGGGAGTGAACTAGTGAATGGAACACCTCTGTCTCTACCTCTCTCTCTAATTCTGTCTTTCAAATAAATAAAATAAATCTTTATACAAATGCACTGCTGGCTTCACTCCCCAGATGGCCGCCACAGACGAAGCTGCATCAATCCGAAGCCAGGAGCCAGGAGCTTTTTCCGGGTCTCCTATGTGGATGCAGGGGCCCGAAGACTTGGGCTGTCTTCTACTGCTTATCCAGGCCATAATACATATTTTCTATCAAGTTTTTTGAAGACCCCCTCTACGCATGGATTTCCAAAATTTTGAGTACCAACATAAACTTTTCTTTCAATTTCATTTTCCATAAACTTTCTGAAGAGCCCCTACATATATTTATCAAAGACCAGTATGTAAAATATAGTAAGAATTCCTATAAATCAACAATAAAGAGACAAATTACCCAATTTAAAAATAGGCATTTGAACAGGTACTATTTTTTTTAGCCAGAATATATATGAAGATTTTCAACATTACTAGTTATGTGGGAAATGCAAAGTAAAATCACCATGAGATAATACTACATATTCACTAGAATGGCTGAAAATAAAAGAACTGACAATATCAAGTATTGATAAGGGAATTCTCATGGATTGCCGGTTGGAATTTAAATGGTATTAACACTTTGAAAAACCATTTGATTGTTTCTTTTAAGATAAACATATAACCTGACATTTTACTCCCAGGTAATTACCTAATAAAAACAAAAATGTACATCTAAAAAAAAAAAGAGAGAGTAGAACACCAATGTTCATGGCAGTTTTATTCATGACAGCCCCAAATTGGAAACAATTTCCACCAACAGGTAAATGAATAAACAAATTATGGCATGCCCTTAAAATGGAATACAGCTTGAAGGCTAGGGTGGGAGAGTTTAAAAAGAAACAGGATAATTTCATAATGTTGACTGCTAACCATAAGTAATAACACCTACTAATATGATATACCCACTAATATGATATATCCACTACTACCATGCTCGCAGCAGGGTGAATTACCTCTATGTTATTCTCCCTCAAGTAAGCATAATATTTCAATCTATTCATGAGAAAACATAAGATGAATTCAAATTGTAGAATATTCCACAAAATACTTAAGATCAGTATTCTTTAAAAGTATCAAAGCAGTGAAAGACAAGTAAATATTTAGGAACTATCACAACTTGCAGCAGACTAAAATGGTATGACAATGTGAGATTCTGGACTGGAAAAAAGACATTAGTGGAAAAACTCATCAAAAAAAAAAAACAGAACAAAGTCTATGGTAGAATTAATAAATTAATAGCATTGTACTACAGTTTATTTCCTAGCTTTTAGTGGTCTTATTACTAAGGTCAAGCAAGATGTTATCATTAAAAAAGGAAAAAAGATCATTTTTGTAGCTCCTTTGTAATTCCAAAATTATTTCAAGTCAAGTCATTTTTTAAATCTTAGGGGTTAAAAAGGCAAGAAAGAATTACTTATTGACAGATGCAAGAACATGAAGGACTCACAAAAGCATTATGCTGAGCAGAAGATGCCAGATACAAGAGTACACAATGGAATGACTCCATTCATATGAAAGTCTAGATGGAAAAATTAATCTATAGTGACAAAAAGCCCTAGGGCAAAGAGTATAGAGAAATGACTTCATAGAAGTATTGAAGGAACAGTTTGGAATGATGCAGTCTACATCTTGATTGCGACAGTGGTTTTACAGATGTATACATTTTGTCAAACTCAGTCACTATACTTAGAGTGCATGTTTTATTGTATATAACTTATTTCTCAAAAGGTTTATTAAATTTTTAAAAATATGTACATATTTAGAAGTATTTCACTTGAGTAATTAGTGTTTTATAACAGGCAAATTGAAGTTCAAATGATTCTTAATCCGATACACTAGAACTTAATGCATCCACGGGATGGGTGTTTGGCCTAGTGGCTAAGGTTATGGTTGGGGCAACCATATCACATAATTGAAAAGCCTGGGTTCAAGTCCTGGCTCCACTCCCAATTCCAGCTTCCTCCTAATGTGCACCTTGAGAGGCATGGGACCACGGTGGACATCTGAGGAATGAACTAGTGGATGCTTTTTTTAAATAAACATTTTAAAATAAATACTTTATAAACCCAAATTTCTAATCAATAAATATTTACCAGGTACCTATTATATGCCAGTTTTTATGTTAAACATAGGCTATAAATGTGAAAAAGGAAGCTCATTTGAGTTGCTTTCAGAAACTCCAGGGCTAATGAAAAGAAGCGTAAACAAACGCTACAATTAACATAGAAATTACTCTGAGTGAAAGACATACCAAGGTATGGGAATTGCCTAGAAAATGCCTCAGAAAATGAGTCATAAAGACTACAGAACCTTTCCAAAAACTTATCACACTTACTCTAGGATATTTATGGCAAATACTCAAAGTTTAAAAGAAAGACACTTCTATTCTTGTCCCTGTATTTCATGGCACATTCTTCCAATAAGTTTAATGGCTGTCTTTTTTACACAACCCAAAGTTTATTCACAGCTAATTCAATGACTACTATTCTGGAAAACAGGTGAGAGTATAAAGTCAATAAACTTGGTTTTTTATGTGCTTTGTGACATGAAGACAATACTATAACAGTGTTTTTCCACAACACAGAATTATTGGAATGATATATATATAATCATGAAAGCAAACTACTTTAAGGGGCTTTGTCCTTTGGAGTACTTAAGTCTTGGTTTGCTGGAGGTTCAGGGGAGCTTACTACTTTTAAATTATATCTCTCTATAAATTATCATTACTGAAAATAATAATCTGAACACTATACACACACACACACACACACACGGTTAGGTTTGGATCTTGGTTCAGCTATATCATAGCTAAATGTCCTTGGATGAACTGTCCAATGCCTCAGCATAATCTGTAAAATAGAAATAATAACAGTATCTATCTCATAGGGATTTGTAAATGTTATAACAGATGTGAAAGAGAAAATATATGTACTAAATGAGATCATCTATGGAAAGCATTTAGAGAAGGGTCTGGCATATAATAAACACTTAATAAATATTAATAGTTTCTATTATATATGATATATATGAAGTATATTAGCATCTAGACAAAGAGAAAACATTGACTTTTAAGTGGCCATTTCCAAAAATAGCAAATAAAAGAAAAAAAAATCTTAAGGTATCATTAAAAAGGTTCAGTTATTTTTTAATGAGTCCATTTTTTTTCATCATTCTGTAGGAAAAGATAATTATCTTAATGCTCAGTAACAACAAGTGCCAAATACATTAAAAATTCTCAATAAATACTTACTGGAGTGAATTATTTCAGTGTCATGAGACTGTCTTAATAACCAAGGAAAAACAGGCTGTCAACTTTCTAACTCCATTTATTTCTGTTTCTGCTTTGGATAATATCTCTTTTAATTCCAAATTATATTGTCATTCCTTTTCCTAGATTGCCAGAATTCTTGAAAGAAGAATGCAGAATTTTCTCCCCATTTGAAAAGCAAGATCTACATTAAGAAAGTACAGTGCTTTCCCCTACTTTCAGACAAGTACTCAAATGTCATTATCTAATTAGGAAAATATGAAAATCAAAATGCTGTAAAAACAATTTTAGGGCAATAGAAAAATAAATGATAGAATATGTAAGAAAAAGAAAAATTTTAATCAAGGCTTGTCTGTGTATATTTTAAATAATTATTTGTTAAAATAGCATGGCCACATCTAGGTGGTAAGTACCTGCATGTGTCCATTTTTTTTTTTACATTTAGATTATTCATTTATATTTGTAGCTTAACGTGAACACCAAATTGAAATCTAACTGGAGATGAAAGTTGGTTTTCCAATACTATTATATAAATGGCTCCTAAAGATAGGTGAATATTTATACATTTTAAGGTGTTTATGTATCTAATGCCAAATCTTTCAGAAACAATTTCTGAAAATTATTTTCTGAGTGTCACTTACACTCCACATATGTGAAAACACAATGCACATGTACTCAATTTGATCTCTTATCCCTGCTATTTCTTAAACTAAATGATATCTGCACCAAACTGCAAATATTCCACTTAATTTCTGAAGAACTGCTATAACTACTGACTAATTAATTGATTGTTTTAATCAGCTAAGTCAGGAAGGGATAAACAGTGCAGCACTAGTGTTTGGGGCTATGTAATACTGAACAAAGTTAATAGCTCTAGTTTTCAAAAAGCCTTTACAATAATTTCTATTTCAATTTGTGTTAAAATTAACATATTAAAATTTTAAGGGATAAAAGTTTACCTTGTGGCAGAATGAGAAATATAAAATTTCACCCTGAAGAACAGCTGAATAGAATAAAATCCAAAAATGTTCAGATAAACACTTTAATGAGTTTTATCATATTGTTTCTTACAATGGTCTCTAAAATAAAATAACCTATTGGTACTTGTTTTCCACTTATCTGTACAAACCCATGAACCAAATCTCAAAGATATCTGATAATTTTAACATTCATAAATCTCAATGAAAGCAGCCTGACACTAAGAGCTTCTGGCTGCCAAACACATCATTAAGTCAACTTTTTACTACTGTAGGCCCACAGAGTCATATACCCAAAGCGGCAGTTCTTCAGCAATCAGAAATTGCTACTCACCAGCAAGGGTGTAATCCATATCAAAACCGAAACACTTTATTTTTTCCATGGCTAAACTTCGATTCACAAACACCCTATGGAAAGAGTAAAAAGTGGCATCTCAATTAATGCTGAAAAACAAATTCTGAAGTTTAATAGTCATTTGGCTATTATTCCAGATCTTCTCATTCATTTATTTTTCCAAATTCTTAATTTTAATTGCAGATAATTAAGGTATACAATATGATACGCTGATATATTTAATATACAAAGTGAAGTGATTACTACAGTGAAGCAAATTAACATATTCAACAAGCCATTTACTTACTTTTTAAGAGTACCAAAAATCTACTCTCTTGGCAAATTATCAGTATAAAACATTATCAACTACTATCGTCTCACTGCATGTTAGATTTCTTAGATTAGATTAACTCATCCTACTTACCCACAACTATCTACCCTTTGATCTTCATCTTTCTATTCCACTTCCAACTACAGTTTTACTATTTCTATGCACTCAATTTTTTTTTTTTTTTTTTTTTTTTTTTTTTTTTTTGACAGGCAGAGTGGACAGTGAGAGAGAGAGAGACAGAGAGAAAGGTCTTCCTTTGCCGCTGGTTCACCCTCCAATGGCCGCCGCTGCAGCCGGCGCACCGCGCTGATCCTGGCAGGAGCCAGGAGCCAGGTGCTTTTTCCTGGTCTCCCATGGGGTGCAGGGCCCAAGCACCTGGGCCATCCTCCACTGCACTCCCTGGCCATAGCAGAGAGCTGGCCTGGAAGAGGGGCAACCGGGACAGAATCCGGCACCCCAACCGGGACTAGAACCCGGTGTGCCGGCGCCGCAAGGTGGAGGATTAGCCTATTGAGCCACGGCGCCGGCTTGCACTCAATTTTTTTTTAAGACTCCACATTTAAATGAAACCATGCAATGTTTTTCTTTCCGTCTCTGACTTATTTTACTCACTCAGCATAGTGTCCTCTAGGTTCATCCATGTTGTTGGAATTAGTAGGATCTCCTTCTAAGGATTAATAACATCTCTCTGTGTTTGTACACCTTATTATTTCTTTATCCATGCTTCCATGATGGACACTTTGGTTGTTTCCTTATCTTGGCTATTGTGAATAGTGTTGCAATAAATGTGGGAGTGCCAACATCTTTACAAAGTGGTAATTTCGTTTCCTTTGGGTATATACCCAGAAGAGAGATTGTGGAGTCATATGGCAATTGAACTTTAAATTTCTCTAGGAACCTTGTTACCATTTTCTTAAGTAGCTATACCAATTCACATTCCCAACAACAGTGTTCAAGGATTTCTTTGTTCCACTTGCTAATATTTGCCAATTTCTTATCTTTTGGGGGAGGGCAGCCATTCTAACAGATGTGAGCTGGTATTTCATTGTGGTGTTGATTTACATTTCCCTGATGATTAGTGATATCAAGCATAACCTACATACATAACATTTGTATGTCTTCTTTGCAGAAAGGTCTATTCAGGGTTTTTGCTCAGTTTTTAATTGCACCTTTTCTTAGATTGAGTTGTTGAGTTCCTTATATATTTTGGATATTAACTCCTAATCAGATACATGGTTCTTTATTTTTGTTTTCCCTATGTTTTTGGTGTCCTAACCAAAAAAGTCATCACCAAAACCAAGTTAAGGAGGTTTTCTCATTTTCTTCCAGATATTCACATTTAAATATCAATATTAAGACTCACAATAAAAACTGTTCAAGATCTTCTTACACTATAAGTGAAATCAGGTATTACATGAAAATATACAGATAAGCTTATTGTGTCCTGGCATTAACAATGCCATTGTGTACTCAAGATTTCAGGAAACAGGCATATTTTCTGAAAATCTGACTTACTTTTGAGATTTTATAACTTATTCACTTTTTCATTTATAGCTTATTTAAAGCCTACCCAGAAGTTACTGAGTGCTTACAGTATGCCAGATACTATGATCTGGCACTAAACAAAGACCATTCAACCTCACAAACTTACATATTTTAAAAAATATTTTATTTATTTATTTATTTATTTGAAAGGTAGGGTTACACACAGAAAGGGAGATACAGAGAGAAAAATCTTCCATCTGCTAGTTCACTCCCAGATGGCTGCAATGGCTAGAGCTGAGCTGATCTGAAGTCAGGAGCCAGGAACCGACCCATGTGGGTGAAGGGGCCCAAGCACATGGACCATCTTCCACTGCTTTCTGAGGCCACAGCAGAGAGCTGGATTGGAAGTGGAGCAGCTGGGACTTGAACAAGTGCCCATGTGGGATGCCAGTGCAACAGGTGGAGGCTTAGCCTACTATGCCAGCCCCAAAACTTACAGCTTCACTTACCATCTAGGGGCTGGTGCTGTGGCATAGCGGGTAACTGACACCTGCAGCACCCGCATCCCATGTGGGAGCTGGTACGTGTCCGGGCTGTTGCAGTTCCGGTCCGGCTCTCTGCTGTGGCCTGTGAAGGCAGTACAAGATGGCCCAAGTATTTAGGCCCCTGCACCTGCATGGGAGACCCGGAGGAGGGTTCTGGCTCCCGGCTCCTGGCTTGGGATCAGCACAGCTCTGGCTGTGGTGGCCAATTGGGGAGTGAACCAGCAGATGGAAGACCTCTCTCTCTCTGCCTCTCCTTCTCTGTGTAACTCTGCCTTTCAAATAAATAAATAAATCTTTAAAAAAAAAAAAAAAAAAAGAAACGTACTATCTTTACCCTTGGTGAACCCAGCTTATCAAAAGAAAGATTTATAAGAAAATAATTACAATTCAATAAATGCTATAAAATAATGTGAAGAAAAAAATACCAGTTGTTCACAGAGATTGGAAAGAAATATCAGAGCTGAATATTAAACAATCTGTAGAAGTTTTCCAGTAAGATAAACCAAAAAAGAAAATACAGACAAAACAACTGAAAAAGGAAAAGGTTTACAGTGGACTACAAATCACTTATTGCGGTTGAAGCTGAGGAGTTTGCTTTGGCTTTGCAAAAGGTTTTCTGGAGGAGCAGAGATGGTGAAGGTGCATAAAAAAGCTATGAAGCTAAAAAGCTAGGAGAAGGGAGCAGCAGTATAGTGACTGACACACTACTTAGGATGCCCACATCCCATATCAGGAGTCCCTGGGTTCGATTCTCAGCTCTGCTTCCAGCATGGCTTCCTGCTAATTCATATCCCAAGAGAAACCAGGTGAGGGTTCAAGGGCTTGGTTCCCTATCACTAACATGGGAAATCCAGATTGGATTCCTGGCTTCTAGCTTTGGCCTAGCCCAGACCTGCCTGTTGCAGGCATTTATGAAGTGAACCAGAAGATAGAAAACCTTCACCCCCGCCCCCACCTTTGTGTTTGTGTGTGTACGTGTGTGTGTCTATGTCTTTCAAATAAATACGTAATTTTAAAAAGGTTAGCAGGAGTCAAAATCATGAAAACTTTGTATATCACATTAGGGATTTCATATGTTATCCTATATGCAAGAACAACTTACCAGATTCTGGAGAAACAATGTAATTAGATCTATATTTCAGAAAGATCACAATGAAGGCACAGTTTGGAAAATTAAATATCTAAGAGTAGGATAGATCATGACCATGATGGTCTTTTGGGGATGTTTTAATCATTTTGAAGATAAAGATACCTAGGGCCAACACTGTGGTGCACTGGATTATAGCTGCCACCTGTGAAGTAGGCATCTCATATGGGCGCTGGTTCTAGTACCAGCTGTCCCACTTCTGATCCAATTCCTGCTAATGTACTTGGGAAAGCAGTAGAAGACAGTCCAAGTGCTTGGGCCGTTGCCACCCATGTGGGAGACCTTGATGGCATTCCAGGCTTCCAGCACTGGAATGACCCAGCCTCAGCTATCACAGTCACTTACGGAGTATCCTGGGGATGGATGATCGATCGATCCCTCCCTCCCTCCCTCTGTAACTCTATCTTTCAAATGATTAAATAAATCTTAAAAAAGAAGAAAAAGAAAGGAAGGAAGGAAGGGAGGGAGGGAGGGAGGGAGGGAGGGAGAAGAGAAAGAGAGAAGAGAGAAGAGAGAAGAGAAAGAGAGAAGAGAGAAAAGAAAGAGAAAGAGAGAAAGAGAGAAAGAGAGAAAGAGAGAAAGAGAAAGAGAAAGAGAAAGAGAGAAAGAGAAAGAGAAAGAGAAAGAGAAAGAGAAAGAGAAAGAGAAAGAGAAAAAGAGAAAGAGAAAGAGAGAAAGACCCTTTCCACCTGATCTCCAGATCTGGATGGCTAGGGCCAGCACTATGGCACAGGGGGGTAAGTTGCTGCTTGTTGCCAGCATCCTGTGAGTGCCGATTTGAGTCCTAGATGCTCCACTTCCAATCCAGCTCCCTGCTAACATTCCTGTGAAAGCAGCAGATGATGGCCCAAGTACTTGGATCCCTGCCACACACAGGGGAGACTCAGATGGATTTGTGGACTCCTGACTTTGGCCTGGCTCTGCCCCAGCCACTGTGGTCATTTGGGGAGAGATTCAGCAGATAGAAGTGCACGTGCACGCGTGCTGTCAGTTTGCTTTTCAAACAAATAAATACACTTGGCTGGCTTATTTGCTTATCATCACAACTCTTTGCCTTCATTTCATAAGTAACTGTAAAAAATGAGAACGTTGTAAATCAGTGAATCTCAAATTTTGGTGTACACCTAAATCACTCTTATCTAGATAATCTGTTAAACAAATAGACCTGGGCTGGCCTCCACCGTCCGTGATCCAGAATTCTAGATCAAGTAACTCCAAAGAGGAGTAACTATACCACAAGGTTCACAAGACCCCACTGGGACACGACAAAGTATCATCTCTTCTACTAATATTTACTTCATCATTTTAAAATGTCTGATTAGTCTATGTTTTATATATAAATAAGGCAACAGTATAGGCAATTTATAAATAAGCATATACAGGACTGAACATTTCTTTTTAAAATATCTATTCATTTTCATTTTATTTGAAAGGGAAAGGGAGACAGAGAGAGAAGATAGAGAAGAGAGAAAAGAGCTTTCCATCCACTGGTTCGCTCCCTCAAATGGCTGCAATAGCCAGGGCTGGGCCAGGCTGAAGCCAGGAGCCCAGAACTCCATCTGGGTA